CTGCTTAGAGCCCAGGCTGGCAGTGGTGTGCCAAGCAAAATGGCCTTGCGTGCCATGCTCAGCACACGTGCTGGGGGTTGCTGACTCCTGGTCTATACTGCAGCAAAAGTAGTGGTTCATATCGTCTGTAGAAAAAAAACATAGGGCTCAATCTATTTGTCATCACCCAAACCACTTATCTTGGTTAGGTGATGAGTATAGTGTTTAGTATACAAGGAAGAGTAATTAACACTGTTTGTCCAAACTGCAGAATAGCAGTTACTAGAGGCTAATAGCTACAGCAGCTTCTTCATCCCTGATATTCACCTTCTGCAGATAAAGATGAAATGGTGAAACTCACTATGGGCAGATTCCTCATCCCATACCCAAGTCTCCCCCACCCCTTCAGGCTGCTATATCAGGCTCACTAGCAGTCATATTTGCTCCAGTTCGTAGCTGCTTTGAGTTCAGCTTCAAAAGCATAGCACCACCAACTTGGATCTTCAAGAATGTTTTCTAGGGTACCACTGGCCAAACAATGGAGACCTCTGCATAATGAATCTGATGCATAATATAAAATCTCTCACTAAGCAATCAATAGGGAAACATTTAAGAGACTAATTGGCTATTTTCTCCAGTATAGAAACTGCTTAAAGGAGGTTTCTAAATTAGCCTTGGCATATACATGGATCTGACCTAATAAAATGTATGACTACAGTAAACCACAGTAAATATTTGGTGGTGTTTTAGGTGAATAACAATTGCAAAGATATCAATATTTCATCATACATATCAAGATGTCTGTAATACATTCTGTTGCATACTGCTGAAATACCAACTGATATATTAAAATATCAGAAATTGGCTAGTGTGGGCAACAGTTGGCTATGTAGTGCAGGCAGGCAGAAGAAGGTAAATAGAAAGTAACAGGCAGGCCAACAGATACATAAAAGTACTGAATTAAACTATTGCCTAACCGTACATACGAGAGCAGGTGTACAGCATCCGCATGCTGTTTGATGTAGTACTGTCGATATCGTGAGAAGTCATGGAGCATCTGCATAGGGTCAGGGGGAATGTTAATACGATCCCGGTCTGTCCAGGTTTCCACAGCAACCAAAACCACTCTAGTGTTCAGCTGTTCCTTGTATATCTGAGGGCAGAGACAGGACAGGCACAGGAGTAGAACACTGGGTCAAACATGCACAGTTAGCCAATAAGAGTCAGCGGAAGGACAAGAGGGATAAAGCAGGAGGGAAACATGGGGAAACAGTTAGCTGGTGTACCTCTGATTTCCTAAAATGTCAATATTGTGATAGTCTTGTTTCACTAAACTTAATAATGTAGAGGGCAAAATCATTTGGTCATTCTGATTTTGATCTCATTTCTCCCCTCTGCTGAACTCATATTTGACAATTTTAGCATCACACAGGAATATCTACCTTACCTCTTAGCAATTTTCTAGCAATGCACAAAGTACTCCACTGACAAGAAAAGGGTCACATGGATCCTCAATTACTCCTAGTTATTTTCTCCAATTTTCAAATACAGTGTGATTCTCATTTACATTAAAGCCATTTTATATTTCTCAGGCACAGTAACAGAGAATGAAAGTGACAGAAAATAATAGTTGTATCTACTTGAGTGCCATTTTACCCTCCCAGAGCAGTGTAAATGGATGTAAACGTAAATGAGAATTGGGCCCTAACATTTTATTAAACACAACTTTAAAATATCAGCATTCTCTTCACAAACATGTGCTTGTGTGATATAATAAACATTCTCTATAAGAGGTTCAGGATATAAAGTCCTACATTTCCTACAGTATACTGAAGACCTGCACATTTTAAAAAGTGCTTATATTCCTCATCCATATTAGTTTGTCTGCTATTTAAAAGCATAGTATTGGTGACACATGAAGAGGATTCACTAGCTAGAAATTATCTAAACTACTGAATTTTAGATCATACAGCATAACAAAACCAAGTTAATAAAGAATATCTCTGAGAATGATCACATGTAAAAAAATACATTTTAAAACCATTTTGTATCAAACTGTATCTGAAGCGCACAACTTACTGTGAAAATAACCCACCTACAAAATTAAAAAAAGGGGGCTATATATTGAACCAGCAATGGCCATTACACTAATCCTTTTGTTATAATATCAGCTATCTTAAAAGCGGTAATGGAGCAACACACTTTGGACAGAAGATAATAAGTATATGAGCAGGAGAGATCACCCAGACAAGCTTAATTTTGTCAAAGAAGGATGTTCACATCAAAGAACTGTTACGATACCATGTTCTTTCTAGAGGAACGAAGGTGAGAATGTTTGAAATCCAAGGTACATGAAAAAAATGACTTGTGGATAGAGGTGTACCGATATATTCATGCCATATCAGATTGGCACCAAGAAAAGGAAAATTAACATTATTGGCTATCAGCTTTTTTTGGCTGGTGTAGCCAATAATGTCTGATAAATATAATATGCTTTCTGGCCGGGCGGGGTCCCCAGATGCCATGTGCATGTGCACAGCTGCATGCATGCACATGGCCAGGAATGCAGCCAGGCAGTGTGGAGAGCAGTGCCCTGCAAGTAAGTCTATGGAGGGGAAGGAGTGTGGGGGAGGGGAAGAACTGTGGGGGTGGAAAAGGGCATGGGGGGTGCAGATCAAGGCCCCCACAGTGAGGGAGGGAGTAGGGCAGGGGCAGGGAGGGTCTGCCCAGCCAGGGTGGTGAATGGGACCCGGGGCCTGGGCAGGGAGCAGGACGGGGCCATGGGCAGCTCACCCAAGGGAGGCAGACGGGGCACATGCCCCCCCTGAGATCTGTCCATGGGCCAGATGCGGTTTGCCCACTGCAGGATCAGGGCTTTCCACTCTGCTGCCTTTGCCTTGAGGGCTCCGCGTTGGCCACACGCCCCCTGTCCACCCAGCAGCTGTGGGGGTGGCCAGGTGTGCCGCCTCCTGCTGGGCAGGCAGGGGACACGTGACTGATGTGAGGCTCCTAGGGCAAAGGCAGCAGAGTGGAGAGTCCCAAGCCCACAGCAAACAGCCCATATCTGCCTTCACCCTGCTTGGCTCTACTCCAGTTAAAAGCGTCACCGCGCTTAAAAATGGTGGTGACAGTACTTGAACTAAAGCTCATTTGACAAGCTTTAGTTCAAGTGCCCCCAACGCCATTTTTAAGCACTGGGATGCTGATCCCCTGGATGAGCTGCTCGCAGCTCAGGTCCCTGCCCTGGGTCCCATTCGCTGCCCTGGCTGGGCAGAACTCCCAGCCCCAACCGCAGCCCTAGCCCCTTCCCTACTTCCTCACCATGGGGGATCTGTCCCCCCATGCCCCTTTCCCTCCACAGACTTACCTGCAGGGTACTGCTCTCCATGCTGCCTGGCTGCATTCATGTAAATCACTTATCGGATTGATATTGGCTGATATGGCTGTTTAATAATCAGCTATCAGTATTGGCCAAGAAAATCTTTATCGGTGCATCCCTACTTGTGTATTGAAACTTATATTAAACTGTGTAACTCTGACAAGGCTGGATAAAGAAAATCTTTACTGATATTTATTGGAGGCAAATTGTGTTATTTTATGAAGTAGGCAGCTATTGTAAATGGATGAAAGAGTAGCTGTAAGAACAGGAAAGTCTTTGTGTGCCAACAGCACTCTTCCCGTAACACTTCAGCAAGAAGCACAGCTGTACCGCATCAACTCATCAAGGGAATGCAGAGAGAAAATATTCTGCTCCCCTTCACATTCCCTTTAAAACTCATAGAGAACAGGCCATAGTCCGGGGCTGGGCAAAATGCAGCCCGTGGGCTGGATCCAGCCTGTGGAGGGACTTTGTTCAGCCCACAGCAGGTCCCTCAGTCCTGCGTGGCCCAGGTGCCATCCAGCCTGTGGTGTGTCCTGCCGCCCCAGGCAGGGCTGGAGTGGTTCCACGCATGGCCCCCCTGGCCCTGGCCAACCCACAGCTGCTCCAGACCCACCTCAACTGGAGTGGACCAGCTTCAGCCCCACCAGGTCCTGCACACAGAGCCCTGACCCTGGCCCACCCCGTACCCACTCCAGACCTGCCCACCCACAACGAGCAGTGGTGGCGGTGGTGGTAGCTGCAGTTGCAGCTGAGCAGAAGCTGCTGCTGGGCATGGGGGAAAAGCAGCCACCTCCCCCTCACCGCTGCCAGGCCCTTCTTGCTGCAGCCACCCCTAGCCCATGCCCAGGCTGCCCTGCAGCTCTTCTCTGCCATAGCCACCACTGCCACCTCTGGGCCGCCCAGCAGGGCAGCTGTGGCAGTGGAGAGGAGCCACAGGGCAGCCCAGGCACAGGTTCTAGGCTGCTGCAGCAAGAAGGACCTGGCAGTGGCAAGGGGGAAGCAGCCGCTTTTCTCACATGGCCAGCAGCAACTTCTGCCCAGCCACCTCCACTGCTCATCATGGCTGGGCCAGTGTGGAGCAGATGCAGGGAAGGCCAGGGCCAGAGCTGTGCATGTAGGTCCCAGCTAGTCCACAGCTGGCCCACCCCAGCCAGGGCTAGTCCAGAGTGAGTTCAGGGTGGGTCAGGGCTGTGGGCTGGGGACAGGCTGGGGCTGTGCATTGAGCTGCTTTTGGGCACTGGTGGCGGTGAGGAGCCACAGGGCACACAGGCTCCCAGCTGTTAAGGGATGATGCTGACCAGCCCACAACAACTCCCCAAAACTGCCTATGTGGTCCAAATAATTGCCCACCCCTGCCATATTCTCTCCATGAGGACAGACAACTGCGAACAGACTGAACATTTATACACATACGGTGCATGACCCAGCATTTGTACATGTAAACAATCTTTAAAACCCAATTTGTAAATTATCTTGTACCGATCAGTGCTAATTTGTAAGAATGGGAATATATGCCTAGGACCATGGTCGGCCAGAATGAGGATAACAGCATTACTTTCTACAGAACTTGTTCAAAATATTTTTTAACATACACTTACTATCTCACTACCTTTCCAGACAGAAAATTCATTACCCTGAAATGAACTACAAGCAAAATAGGGGAAAATACAGAGGGAATAATAACAAAGAAAGAAAAGAAAGATCAAATGATTTGCATTAAGCTTGAGAAATACCAAGAAAAAATTAGCAGAAAAAGTAGATTAAAAAAATTAACCTAATGAAAACATATTTACTGTATATTATAATTTGTCAGTCCAAACAAATATAGGAGTCGCACTGTGCTTCCTAAATTAGAGCCCATGCTTGGATGTTGGGTGTTTCACAGGGGCCAAAAGTACTGTAGCTAAACCCAAGAATTCCTCTGAAAGTGATGGACACTGCATGTAGTGCAGGGCCAGCACCATCATTTAACATGGTACAACATGAGCTTTCCCTATGCCATCCTAATTCTACTGCAAGTGAGTGGAGGGATCATATCCCTAATTATCCCTGCCTGGGAAGGTTACCCCACTGCCCCTAGGCTCTTCTACCCTTTCATATCAGAGAGCAGAGGGCCAGAACAAGGTATTCTGCCCCAATTAATTCCAGCAGTGTAGTTGAGTAGATAAGAATGGTTACACAATGATGTTTATATACCCACTGTATACTCTGGAAAGGGTCTTTGTGCTGCCCTGTGCAAGTGGATCCCAGAATACCTTGAAAGTGTGTTGTCATTCAAAAAATGTCTCAGTCTACCAATACATTGCATAGGTAACTTCCATAAAGATATAGAGCATGCCATAACATGGATCTAAGAATTCCTTCCAAATTTCTACTGGTTAAACTTCAAGTTAGAATATTTACATATTTGTATTTTTCTCTTGTTTTTTTAATTTCCTGTCTACTCAGTAGTGTATGTTTGTGTATTTGTGGCTCTGACCCTTCCCAGTTTGACTCTATATAACAAAATAATGCAGAAATACTCAATATTTTCAATGATTTCTCCCATAGAGTTTTTTTCTCAAACTACAGGCTACTTTACATTAACTAAATTTATGAGATACTTTATTTATTTTACGTACTATATTTGTGTTCACTTAAACTGTGTAATATGCATGACACTAAGTACTATAGTAAACAAATAAAGAAAAAGACTAAATATTATTTTCTCCATGCTATGGGATTTATTCTGCATTGAACTGCACGACAAAATGTCACTGACTTCACTGCAGTTGCAATGAAAGCAGAGTTTGATGCAATCTTACTGTTGCATTCATGACTATTTACCAACCTCACAACAATAAGTTAACTGGTAAGAAAAAAAAAACCAGGAGAAAATATAAAATGCACAAAATCATCCCAATTATGTGAGTAACACAAAAACATGTTTCATGAAATTACTTTACTGTAAATAAATCATAACTGAATGAAAATGTATGCATGCTGCAGTTCTCACAAATTTCTGTCTTAGCCCAAAGGAAAAGATGTGATGCAAAGAATAAAAGCCTAACAAGCATTTTACTCCTGCTTTGATCAAAACTGGAAGTGGTCTTGAATAATTTGTATTACTGCTAATAATCCTTATGCTAAATACTTTTTATTTTTCTAGGCAAGTCTAGAATTACTTGAGAACAGAAGGAGGTCATAAAAGCAGTAGAATGTTCTTGCTGCTGATAAAAAGAAAATTCTAAACAATTATTTGAACACCTGGAGAGAGAAACTATTTTATGTAGACCCTTATCAGGAAGGGATGACCTCATAAATACTGAAAAAACTTTATTCTTCCCCTCCCCCCAACCCTTGTAATGGAAAGTTCTCTTTATACTTCAATTCTGTCTTTTTTAGCCCATTCTCAGGATAGTCTATTTGGTTAGTGATTTTAACAAATATAAAACTGACCTTTATGTCTGTAATTCACATGTATGGTCTTGGTATTACACTAAATGTACTAACACGGAAAACATTGCAACAGGCAAGTAACCCATAGGGATTACATAATTCTTTATCATTTAAGAATTTGATAGAAAAAAGATGAGGTACATTTCTACTAACTTTTAATGAGTTGTATTAAATGAGTTATATAATCTATTAAATAACATATGACTCTTAAACTAATCATGCTGCAGTCACAAGAGACACCTACATGAGTAAAATGTGACTCAATGTCTAAATATAGACCTTAAAGAGAAAAACCTGAAACCTTTTAGACATGCAAGAATATTTTCGTTTAAGAAGCTATCTCATATCACATAGAAGGATACAAAAAGAATGGTATCCTAGACCATAAGCATGTGTGATAATTGCATAAATATCAGAGAGGTAAAGTCAACAACTTTATCTCAAACCTAGTTTTCTGTTTATAGACCATGTTTGCTGCAAAACCAATTCATTACTCATTACATGCATGAGTATCATATGTACTGGGAATTCTGGTAAGCATTTTTCATGGCTCTCATTTAGAAAAATGTTGAATCACATTAATACATATTTTTAAACGAAAAATGTTTATTCACTTTTTTCTGTTACACTCCTGAATATTTGTATCTTCCATGCACTGTGTTTATCACATTGCCCACTTGTGGCAGCTAATATCAACGCAGGTTTTTTTATTGATCAAAGCTTGATTAAATTCAAGTATTAAGCAGTGACTCATGTGGAAAGCTCCTTCACAGTTCTGAGTTCCCCCAGAGGGTAAATTTGTGGCAGCTGCAAACTTTGAGACAATGCCAAGAACAAATTTGCGGTTTCTTATAGATAGGAATACTTTTCGAATAGCAGTCCAAGCAATCTTTCTAAAGGGAAATTGTGAAATTATTTTTCAATCATTTAACAGCTGCTTGTTGTATAAATTTTCACTCTAATGGCTGCCACCATCAATGTTCAATATAATGTTCTATAACAATCAATTCAAATGATATACTGTCAAAAATCACAATGATACTTACGGCATCTACAAGGTTAACCACAGACTTTGCAAAATTGTTTGTGTACACATGGGAAGAACGATGTTTTTTGAACTAAAAGAAAATATTAAAAAGATGTTAGTCACTATTTGAACAATTACTAGCAATTTATTATTTGTTTCAGCAAGAGCGGAGAATGAATAACCTTATCAAGTGCTCAGAGAGAAATGAAAACAACAGCTTTTCCAAACCACAGCAGGCCTCTTCATTTCTATGTGTTTATGGAATTTTATGAAAGCCTGTGCTTGCTCAGCAATATTTCACATATACAAAAGACACGTTTTAGTAAAAGATTTATTTAACTACAAAAGTTGTAGTATCTAGAAAAAAATTCTCAACCCATGAGTGGGTTGCAAGAATATATGAAAAGGTCATGAACAAACTTTAAAAATGGATCAGCCTGCAAGGGGCTGCTTGGGGCCCCCCCTCCCCACACACACTCCCCCCTGCCCCACACACCCACCCCTTGCCCCACACACTTGGTTAAGAACCACTGATCTAGAAAGTGTTCCAAACCCTTTTAAGAATTTAGTCAAAAAGTTTTTTTGTTAAGACACAATTAATTCATCTCTTTCAGGGTTTATAAATAAGAGTTCAGAATTAGGAGGATGTTGGGTCTGATTGGCAGTGTGCTGAATCCTAACTATTTGACCACTACTATGGACCAATAGCTACAGAGGTGGGCAAAATGCGTCCTGCGGGCCGGGTGTGGCCCGCCAGGCCATTCTATCCAGCCCGTGGGGCCCCTAAAAAATTTAGAAAATTAATATTTATCTGCCCCTGGCTGCTTGTCATGCGGCTCTTGATGGCTTGCCAAAACTCAGTAAATGGCCCTCCTCCCGAAATAATTGCCCGTCCCTGAGCTACAACCTTCATTCTGCCACTACAGGAAAGCTAACCTTCCATCACCCCTCCAATCGGCCTTCTTCATACTAAACCACCCTCTTACAACATATCTAAATTTGGCATGAAACTTTCACTGCTACCAGAACTGGGTATATGCAGAAGGGTGAAAGGGGCAAAAACTTTTTTCTATGAGTAGTCTATGGTGTAATAAAAAAATTTGTGTTTGAGTACAGAAATAATGAAGTTGTGGATTTTTACAAGAAAGGTAGACATTTATATGTGCCTTAACTTTTCAGTTTTCTGATTTCCTTTGTTTGTATTGAGTATGTGCAGCCCTAACTATCTCTATACATCTAATATATGTGTAACTTTCTACACATAGGCCTATCAATCTCTTTTGCCTACAAATTAAACTTGCCAAAGAAGGTTGCTGCGGTACTTTAACATGACATTGTAACTGAAAAAAAATTGCAATACAGTCTACAAAGAAAAAAAGGTAAGTCTAAAAAGTCATGGAAAATGAACTCCAAAACTGCAGAGAAAAACTAACTGAAGTTTTTCCATGAAACAATATAATCTGCTCTTGATTTCATGGTATCAGGTTGCATAGGAAGTCTTATTTGACATCCTTCTCAAGCATGGTAGACTTGATGTGAAAACTTCCTTAAAACAAGAGGGTTCATATATGCATATATAATTCTAAGCAAGTCAGTACTGATATGCTCTTATAGTCACATACTTAATTAACTATCTAAATCAGGGTCAGAAAACATAAGAACTCTCTGGACTCCTACAGATATTCACAGAGCTACTTGCAAAGGACATTTGAAAATTACAGATGGTTTACATTTTTAGACAGTTGGTCACTTATACTTGTACCTCTCAAATTGGAAATTTTAAAAAAATAATCCCTGAAAGCTTGTCAACCACATTATTTTGTTGAATGCCAATTTTTCCTTTCCTTCAAACAGAATCTATTTTTGTATCATCCCACTGAAATCCACTATGAACTTTCAAATTATCACGATTATTCATCTTGTACAAGGTGATAAGCCACATGATTCACTGCTGATCCTGTGGCCCCCATGTCTGTCTACTCTGGATACCTACCTTTCTTAATGACCTACATATGGCCATCTTCCCTACAGCATCAGAGTCTGCAGGGAACACCCTCTTTGTAACTGTTCTGTTGCAAAGGTCCTCATGCAGCCTGATCAGGAGACTTAACTGAATGCACCAGGTACTGCACATCTACCATAGGTTTTTGTTTTTTCCTTTGTTACTAGCAAATAATATTGCAATCTTAATAGGCTAAATATGTATTTCAAGTGTATTTGCATTTTGTTTTTCAGGAAAATATTGAAATACTACGAGAAACATTACTAGAACATTGTATAACTACAAAAAAGTCCCAGAAATAGAAATTAAAATGAATACGATTGTCTAAAAACCAAGCAATGAAAATAATGTATTCACTTGGGCTTTTATTATTACAAGGAGTAAAAGTTTAAGTGAAATATGAAAATTATATTAAAACTTTAGCCACTTAACAAGACATGATATAATACAATGTCTGAATCATAAGGGGACTATTTTAGAATCTAACTGCAGCAGAAATGTGCCCTCTCCTGGTAAGCAAAAAATCCCAAATATATGCTTCTCAGCTCCAGATTGTACAATTCTAACTCATATTGCTGAACACATATTTAGTTAGACAGCATCATTATATAGTCAAAAACAATACTCTGTTCTAAGTAACTGACAAGAAGAAAATTATTTTGAATGATTATGTGTCAATGTTCTAATAGACAGAGTCCAAGAGGGGCTATAAATTGGTGTCTACTATAGACCACCAAATCACACTAGAGCAGGGGTTCTCAACTATTTTAGACTCAAGTCACCCTTGTTAGACTCAAGGCATCCCTTGGAAAATACATATCTTAGCTTGTACTTGCTTTTTGTCTACAGAAAAATAATAGAGCAATTATGTCTCAAAGAACTCAGAAAGACCACAACAGGTCAGAATGGTTTTGACACTGGATTCCTATTTGAAATCACCAGCAGGCATGTATCAGTGTACCTGCACTGGAAAATGGTGGTGGGGTGCTTTAACTAAAGCTTGTTCGACGAGTTTTAGTTCAAGTGCCCCCGCCACCATTTTTCAGCACAGGGACACTGATACATGTGACGCTCCAGGTGCTTTAATTAGAGCAGCTTTTGGAGCCACCCTAATTAAAGCACCTCCCTCCTCCCCCTGGAGCACGTGTATAAACGCCCTTAAGGCCCAAATCAAACGCTCCTACTGAAAAAAAGACAACAGAGCCAAAGTAAAGGGGAAAAAAATCCATGGCTTCAGGATTACACAGTTTCTATTATGTAATGGTCAGGTATGGACAGAAAATGAGCAGGGTAAGCATAAGATTCAGTGGGAGTTGTCCTCCCACCTACTGTCATCCTGCAACGTATAGTATTTTTCCATGGATTTTAAAGTATCTGTTTAGCAGCCCAACTCTTTTACACCACCCAGTAGGCACCTCCTTTCTGATTTAATTTTCTAAACAGGAATCTATGGAAATTTTGCCACAATCTCATTTAGCACAATTAGTTCAACTAATAACATTTTAGTAGTAAATATTAGCTGGTTTAATTTTTTGTTTTCCTTTTTTTCCACATTTCTCCTCTAGGTAAAGAATAAAGAAGAGGAGGATTCTTTATAAATGTCAAACAACTTGCTTAATTCCCAATTCATTATCCCGTCTATTTATAAGCATGGATTTACCTGAAAAAATAGAGACTGTTTAACATGCATGCCTTGCTGGCCAAAAGTCAAAGTTAATTACTTTTAAGTTTAGTCTTACTAGAATTTATTCCTTTATTCTTTCCAAGATAGGTTTTTATTTCTTTTTTAGAATCTTACAGGTTAACAACATATTAATTTTATATATACAATTAATATATATATTGTAGAATAAGATTTTTTAAATGTTCTAAAAACATGAGGTACTATACAAAATCTCAGATATCACTGAAATTTGTTGTTGTGACGGTCTACAGTGTATTTTGCAGCATCACATTAGGAAGAGATGACGTATAAACTGTTCTACCTCAGAAGTAGTCCTAGAGGTATTGTGCCTTAAGTACAGTCCTTGGAGGCATGATATCACGTCCTTCCTTCTTTTGTCTTTGCTTTGTAAGAAGTAAATTTTTAGAGAATAAAAAGAATGCAGATTATTTCTTATTTTGCACCTGGCTACCTAATCTTGTCATTGAAGGTGGAAGTGGAATCTCTGATCCTATCCACCCCCAAAACGTGTGCTAGTGGGTTCATCTACATGTTCATTAATGTGCCTTTGCTACTGCACATTAAGTTTAGTATCTCTAATATGAGATACTACATAAAGGCACATTAGCCCATGCTAATGTGCAGTAGCAAAGGTGAACAGTTTTTTTTTTGTAACAATGTGCAGTAGACTAATCTACTGCACATCAGGGCATTAGTACGATTTTTGCCATGATGCACTAATACGCAGTAGAATAGGCTACTGCGCATTACGGCATCTCATGTAGACGTACCCATTGTGGAGGTACTCAGATACAAATACAGAAATCTAGACAAAATGAATGGAGCCTGAGCTCTAATTACATTAATAGGAAAAATGCTTTTGTATCCTTACCATTTTATGGTCATTTACAATCATGAGCTCCAAATATTTCATCTCTTCCAAAACACCACGAGATGCCTGTTGAATTTAAAAATACACAGTGAGAAATGACACTATGTGACAGCGAGTGAGAGAGGAATTTTGAACATTGACCTATCTAGTAGCAGCGGAAGAGCCAAGTTTGTGTTCCTCATTGGAGTCAATGGAAATCTGCACACAAATGTTACTCAATGGGTGCATCTAGACGTGATGCTACTGCGCAGTAGTAATGAGGTACTATGCACTAAGTGCCACCAGGCAACTGTGCTGGGATGCTACTGCACAATAACACCAGTTACTGCACAGTCATTTAGTACTTGGTTATGTAAGTACCAAATAACTATGCAGTAACAACTGCGTAGTGGGCATCTCATATGGATGCACCCAGCATGAATGAGGCTGTTAAAGAGCAGGTTCAGATCGTAAAAGCACAGTCATAATTCCATTGACTTCAAAGGAGTCACGCTGATTTACATCAGCAGATGATTTGAATCATTTCAATTGGAATAAGTTAAAATAAAATCTTTTTGTCTGGGGTTTACAGGAAAAGCTACTCTTGCCATAAAATTTGGTATTTTTGAAAGACCCAAAAATAATAATTTAAAACATGAGTATCCTGTGCTCTATTGTGCTACTTATTACATATTTTAAATGGGTGGCTCTTCAAATTTCCATAAATCTGAAAAAAGCCATGAAAAAATGGATATCACAGAGAGATTTGGGTATAAATTAATTTCAATAAAAATTATAGACCCACATGCAGAGTGAACCACAAAGGTATAGATAAAATATATTCTAAACAGATATATCTATAGTGATTATAAAATACATGGGTCTACCTGTGTTTATTTTCTTTAAACAACCCAATTTTCAATTATACATTTGTAGCTTGTGTCTTTGGATAAATTACTTAATGAGCTACAAACATATAAAAAAGATTATCTACAATATAATCAGACTTCATTCAGTTTTTTGCTCACAACAGTTTCAGCTTTTAAGGATCACTGAACTTTCAATTCTACTTTGACTGTCAAATTTCTATTTATACTATATGTGGTAATGCTATCACTATAAACTACTACCATCTACTTCGTTGTGTACATTCAGTTTAATTCAAATATGATGTCAACATACGTATAATGTATGAAGACCATCTATCTTCAATTTTCCAAAAAGTCAAAAGGCAGCTTTCTGATGAGGACACAGTCACATATAATTAAATAATTTAAAAATACATGTAACACTATAGGGTCTAAAGTTAGTGTCAAACTTACACTCACAGCCCTCTTTCTTCTCCTTCTCCTCAACCACTGTAATTCAGGTAAGAAGGGCCATTCGGAACTAGAGTCAGCCTCTGGGGTAAACAGAACGTTCAAATAATTCACAATTTTTTCAGAAGAACATATAATTAATTATAAATATGAAAACGGTGTACAGCAATACATATAGCAGTCTGGGATGGCAAAATTTAAGGTTAAATGTTTTGTGATGTTCTAAGAACACTCCAAAGTATTTGAAAACATGATTTAGAAATCCTTGTGATGTGGACATTAATCTAATGCAAAACAGATTAAGACCACCAAATTCACAAATATTCTTTCTTAAAAGTGAAATTAAAAGTGTTCTTTTAAACCCACAACTTTTAACTATCCCACATCAATAACAACGTCATGGATTTAGATTAAAATTAAACATGCATTAAATAGAGAGCTGAAGGGGCTAAGACCTCATTGGTATAAAAATTGTAGCTGATAAAAGTATTAATAATGAAATCAACTGCCATCTCCTAAAAGAAAACTGAACAGAAGTTTTGATAGGCAAAAACATTTTCAATTTAATTTGGACTATTCTGACATTCAATGGCCTGATTATGAACTTGATAGAAAAATGTCATGTTAACCTTTTCAGACTATTCTAAAAGTTCAGTGGTTCAATATAAACTCAGTTAATCTGAAGTCTGTACTGTTAACATTACAACAGAAATTATTGCCATTACTGAAAAATGTACAATGTAAATGCTACATACCAAGGTCCTTTAGTTGCTTAGAGGTTTGTGTTCCTACAGTTCTCTGAATGATGTGTGGCCTACCTGTGCTTTCCTGAAACAAACAGTATGTGAAACCATTTTCATCTTTATGACATCTTTATAACAAATGAAAAGCAGGATTTAATTTTTTTTTTTTTTTTGGAAAAAGAACAAGAATTAATGGTATCCAGTGATGGTATCAAGTTAGGCCCCCCACTATATGTTGTGTATTATGCAATTACCAGATTAGTTGCACAATTAATTTAGATTGCCTAGATGTGCAAATTAATTATCATGGCTTAAACAGGCCAAACTAGATATGAAGTTACAGCTGGAACATGTGTAATAACTTTATAACTGGTTTCTATCAAGCTTTAATTTGCAAATATAGCCAATGCCCCCATGGCTGGGAGCCCAGTAAGCTGACGTGGGTCGCAGCTGCAGGGGCACCCCATGCACCCCTGTGGCTGGGAGATTGCAGTTGAGGTCGTGGTCCAGCCACAGGGGTGCCTGGAGAACCCCCACAGCTGGGATACTGCCTCAACTGAGGTTTCCCAGCCATGGGGACCCTTGGGGCATCCCTACATGTGGCATGGCAGGAAGCACAACTGTGTGGATCGCGCATCAGATCCTATCAAACCTTTAGAGTACTTGTCCAGGAAATGGAAGACCTGTGTCCAATCCCTTGATAACAATTTGACAACCGCTCAACCACGTTTCTAGATTCCCCCCAAAAAAGCTTTAGGTGAAAGCTAAGCATCTAACTGCTCAAGCTGAGGCAGTTCTGGATATGCACAGGACTGCAAGTGTAAGTGCCCCAAAGAACTTGCAGGCTGAACAAGAAGCCACTGAGTGTTTTAAGTGCTTCCAGTTTTAGCAACTGAGCAGGAGTTTTTTAGCTGCTAATTTTGGACTTAGGTGGTCAAAAACCATTTAAGTCCTGTTTTCAGGCCCATCAGGATATGAAAAAAATATATATTTTAGCCACTTTAAAAGGGGAAGGGGATTAGAAGCATGGAACAGTTGTTAAGCTGTAACTTATGTCCTCAGGAGCTTGTAGCCATACAAGTGAGTTAAATTACTTTGACTCTGACCCATGAATGGCACGTGCTCCTGGCAGCTGGTGGGGTACAGCTCCGCTGGTGGCAGCAGGAGCACGGCGGTGGTGAGCAGGAGCTCCTGCAGATGCCGCCAGTGGCGGGGGGGGGGGCACCTGTGGGCACCGCAGGCAGTATCCAGGGGCAATTGTGGACTGCCCACAGATGATGCTGGCGGTGTCGGCGGCAGGGTGGCAAGTGGCGCCCGCCTGCAGGGGGTGCACCGCCATGCTCAGAGGATGCACATGCACCCGCGTGCACCCCCTACACGTCGCCTCTAGTCTGACCCTGGATGAAACAGAGTTAAGGTTTAGTCTGACCCTGGATGAAACAGAGTTAAGGTTTACTCCATTTGTATTGCTACAGGATCATGCAGATGTAACAGCTACATTATAACCACTTGTATCAGTGTCCTTTGATATGGCAGCCTGGGATTCCTTAAGATCCTTTTAAGAGTGATGCACAATAGTAGGTATGCAACTAGCTCCACAAGATAAACCTAAAGAGTTCAAATAGGAATCAATAATACCAAAAACATTTGACCTTTTGTGGTTCTTGCAAGTTCTTTGAGGCAGAGGAATTGTTCTATTATTTTTCTGCAGTCAAAAAACAAGTGAAAACTAAGAGCTGGCATTTTACAAGAGGTGCCTTGAGTCTAATGAGAGGTGTTTTGAGTCTAAAAGAGTTGAGAATCACTTATAAAGAATCCTGCTCTTCCACCATCACCAAGATAAAGACACGCCTGGTATACTTAGTGGGTACATCTACACATTCAATAATACGCTGTAGTTACTGCGCATTAAGTTTAGTGCTTGCATAACCAAGTACTAAATCAATGCACAGTACCTGGTGCTACTGTGCAGAATTAGGCTACTGCACAGTTAGAGTCTCATGTAGACACACACAGTATGGATTACAAAGACTAGCTTCCTAACTGCACTGAAATGCAAGATTGAATCAGTGGGTCTCAACCTTTTTAGACTCAAGACGCTCCTTGGAAAATGCTCTCTCTTACCTTTCACTATTTTTTTGACTACAGAAAAATAATAGAAATTTTTCTGTTGCAAAGAACTCAGAAAAACCACAACAGGTTTTTGATATTATGGACTCCTATTGGAAATCTCTGGGTTTATCTTGTGAATCATGTGGAAGTGTTTGCACACCTAAAAGTACTAATATTGCATGGCACCCTTGAAAGGTTCTCATGGCACCCTAGGGTGCTGAGGTACCAGGGTTGAGAACCATTGGATTAAGTAGTAAGATCCATGTCTCTTTCAACACGATTACTGCACAGTGTATTAAATCTTAAATAGTCCAATATAGGAAAATATATTGGAGTTTTCTCCTTTTTAAAGACTGATATACCTCAAAATACCACATTTTAACAGAAATCCCTTCTCTTTTGTCACTTCCTCAGCTAAGCTAGCCAATGCAAAGAAATGCTTTTCAAAGAGAAAAATGTCATTTCTGTGTAACTCACAAAGGATGTTTGTGTCAAACACTGAAGTAATATAACAAAAATCCAAATAATGAAATGCATACAGTAAACAGAAATTAATTTCATATAGTCCCTTCCAGACTTAAACTATCCCATAGTTGTTAACCAAACAATGAGCGTGATAGTAATAATATATTTCAGACACCTATCTTAGGTATTATGCACAAAGGATGATATTTTGAAAAGCAAAGCTGGTATTGAAGAGTCTACCTTGCACTGCATTAGTTGGATGGATATCCAAGTTACCTGACATCAATATACTTGAAAAAGTTCCATATAGGCATTTCATTTTGGTCATTTTAAGTAATTTTACTGAGAAAAATATTCTTGTCCAAACACTTCTTTTCCAAAATTCCATCTAGACACATTAATTTTACACTACCCATAAAAAAAAACCCCTACTTTTTTCTCTATCCTGAATCTGAAGTATCGGCATTAAAAGATGAGGCCTGCTGTCCTCCTGGAGGAGGATCTCTGAATGGTCTACATATCTTCTTGCTTGCAAGGAAAAACAGAATTCAATCCAAGTTATCCTGATAAACACATGGTCAGTTTTCAACCAAAAGCAAATTTCACATATAGCTGGCATTTAACTACAGAATATAGTTTTATATAAAAGAAGCCTTGTTCCAGTTGGGAAATAATTTGGCAAGTATTCTCTGTGGCAATGAAATATTACTCTAATAATATTTAATAATCTAGAATTGCAAATTGCCTGCAAGAAATAAATTCAAAGCAGGTACTCAGAAGAGCATTTTTATTATTTTATATGAATGAACCCGCTAATACAATTATTTATTATCCATTTCCAATATGCTATTCAGGCAACACTACCAAACCAAGAATCATATAGATGAAAAGACACTTACTGAACTATGGGTTAGATCCTTTGGTTCTATCAAGTACACATAAGTACTATCTTCAAATATGCCACTAGAATAAAAGAAAGGAAAAAAGTAGAAATTTAGGAACATTACATAAACCAAGAAATAATTTAAACTGAACAAATAGTTTGGGGTAAAAATATTCCACCTTTAGGCCTGACAAAAAGACGTTATAAAAGAAATCCACCACTGTATCTTGCAAGATATAATAGTAATGCACCTGAGCAAAATGAGTTTTGTATTTTTCAGTGTACTTAGTAATGGCACACCTGATAATAATAAAGAGTGAAGATTTAGAGAATGGCTTTCCTAGCACACCAGTTAATCTCAGAAAATAAACACAGATGTGTTC